GATCTGTATCCATAAGACCTCAAAGAGCTAAGATCAGTTATTTCAAAGTCCTTTGGATTTAACTTCTTTAATCACTGGGCTTCCAAAAGGATTTATGTAACACAATGTTTGAACCTAACTGTGATATGTAAAGATTAACACAATTTCCATTGCTCTGAATCATAGCTTTGCCTATGTGGTTATCAGGGTGTTTTTTTTTCTAGTTTGAACTGGTTTTGATCAGTATTCCACTAAGACCTGAAGGAGCTAACTACATCAGTTATTTCAAAGTCCTTGGTTCTAATTTCTTTCTTTAATCTCTGGTACGGTCCAAAAAGGATTTATGTAACACAATGTTCCCAAGTACCTGAACCTGAAGGTCTTCATCCATGGGTCCCAGGGGTTTTGTGGGAAGTTTCTGGGGCATCCACAGGACCTTTTGGGGCTAAGATTTTATTTCAAAGTCCTTTGGGGGGGGGGGGTTTCTTGGGTTTTGGGGGGGTGTGGTTTTTTGGGTTTATGTAACACAATGTTTCCCCCAAAATTTTTGTCCTGTTTTGGGGGGGGTGGGGTATGTTTTTTTGGGATAATTAAGTAGGTTTTGATTGGTTTCCGTTTGTGTTCTGGCAATCATTAGTTAGGCCATGATGAAGGTTGGGTTGTATCTTGGACTGAAAAATCTAGCTTATTTATTTTTGGTGGGGGAATTTACCACATTAAACAAAGGGGCTCTAACTACATTCATCCCTGGGTTCTTCCCATTATGGTATTTATGTGCTTTCGTTAGGGTTGTTTTTGTGTGGGGGGGGGTTTTGATGGCGGGGGACCTGAAGGGTTCTTCATCCTTTTTTGGGGGGGGGGGTAGGTAATGGGGGTGGGGTGTGGGCATCTGGGGACCTCAAAGAGCTTTGTGCAGTTAATTCACAAAAGTCATTTGGGGGTTTAAGTGGGAGGTAGCTGTAAGTGGAATTTATTTGCTTTTTTGCCGGGGGTGGGGGGTGGAAATGTTTTTTACGTGAGCTATGGGGAGGACGATTTGGATTTATTTTAGGGGGGGGAGGAGGTTTTTGACAGGCAAAAACCTGTGGGATGTTAGTTCTTTGATTGAAGAGGGGGGGATTTCATTGAAGGTCTTCGGGGTATGGGAGTGGAGAACTTTTAACCCATTCATAAAAACACAGGGTTGCTGGTGGAAGATCACGGTTTGGAAGGTCTTTAGTTTCTTGGGGAGTGGGTTTATGGTTTCATCCATGGCTGTTAAATTTGGGTTAATGATTGAGGGTGGGGTTTTTGTTGTTTGGTTTGGAGACAGGTGTAGTGGGCTAACATGGAAGTGAAGGCCAGTTGTCACGTTGATTTTAGCAACTAAGGGTTTTATTTTAAGTTTGATTTGAGTGGGGGTGGGGGGTTTCTGAAGTGAAGGTTTAATAACCATGGTGACGGGGAAGATGGAGTTGGAGGAGGGTGAAGGTACTAGTATTTTAATTTGAGCCTTCATGTTTATGTTTACATTAAGGAATAATGACCGCTAGGTTGTCCATGGAGCCCTGAAAGAGTTCAGCTAAGTGAAGGTCTTCATTGTTGGGAAAGGGGTATCAGCTAAGTGAAGGTCTTGTCCACGAGCCTGAAAGGGTTCAGCTAAGTGAAGGGGGTGGGAGCCCTGAAAGGTTGGGGCTAAGGGAAGGTCTGGGGGGGGGGGTTGGGGGGGTTGGGGGGTGTTTGGTTGGGGGGGGGAAAGGGTTCAGCTAAGGGGGGGGTTCGGGGGGGGGGGGGGGCCCTGGAAAGTGTTCAGGGGGGTGAAGGGGGGGGGGAGCGGGGGTTGGGGGGGGGCTAAGTGGGGGGGGGGGGGAGGGTAGTGAAAGGTTCAGCTTGGTGGGGGTGGGGGCGGGGGGGGGGGGGGCCCTGGGGTTCAGCTAAGTGGGTCTTGGGGGGGGGGGGGGGTGGGGGGGGGGGGGGGGGGGGGGAAGGGGGGGGGGGGGGGGGGGGGGGGGGGGGGGGGGGGTTTTGGGGGGGGGGGGGGGGGGGGGGGGGGGGGGGGGGGGGTGAAAGAGGGTCAGCTTGGGGGGGGGGGTTGGGGGTGGTGGGGGGGGTGGGGGGGGGTGGGGGGGGCTTGTGGGGGGGTGGGGGGGGGGGGGGGGGCTAAGGGGTCTTGGGGGGGGGGGGGTTTGGGGGGGAGGGGGGGGGGGCTAATGTGGGGGGGGGGGTGGGGGGTGGTGTGTTGGTGTTGGGTGGGGGATGGGGTTTTGGTTTGGGGGGGGGGGGGGTGGGGGTCTTCGTTGGGGAGGGTTGGGGGGGTTTTGGGTGTGTTGGGTGTGTGGGTGTGGGGGTGGTGTGTTGGGGTTCAGCTAAGTGAATGGGGGTTTATTACTCCCTGAGGGTAATTATTCAATTTACACCAGTTGGAGGTGATTTACGGTTTCTCACCGTGTGAATTGGAGTGTTCACGATTACTGATTGGGTGTTATGATATATAATTTGATTTAGGAAGAATTTATATTTTATTTTATATTTAGTGTACACGATATGCCGTTTGCATGACTATTGCACCAGAGATAGGCTTGTCCACTCCCCATTACCACCATGACCGTTCCGTACAAACCCCCTTTTTTCCCCTTAACCCATTATACTTACAAAACACATGACACCAATTTTGGAGTAAATGGCCCACATGGCCTTTTATTAACAACACAAATTTAAATACACCAACCATTCCTTATAACAGAAACCCAAAGAATTGTTGTTGGTCTTCGAAAGGCACCCCCAAACAATCCAAAATGCACCTGCGGACAACCATATACACTAGGCCTCCAGGCGCAACCAACCAGCTCGGAGACAACCATACCGTCCGCAGTGCAGCACCACCACCTTCCAGTTAAACTTTGGTTAACTGGAATGTTCCCGGGCATCCCATACCACGATGGGTCCCACACCATTGTTTTTTACCTTCCAAGATAAGAACCGCCTCCAAAGACCAACAACCGCCCAGGAACCAACATAACCCCCCTTTACCTGGAGGGACCCAATACTCACCAAAAACAGGGAGGACGGGAGGGAAGCTCACACTCCTGACTTCCAGTTCAACTGACGCCCCCTCACTGAAACCCCCCACCCTAAGGTGCAGGAAACCCCACCTACTCTCAACCTTCCACTAACCAAATACCCCCACTATCAAAACAAACCCCTTGGATCTGCCTTAACCCTTTCTGTTCCTCCTTCCCCACTCTGGGCCTAGTCATGTATGCCCTGCGCCATTTCTTCTTTCTTTTTTGCTACGGGCATTTCTTGATACACTTGTTTGCTCACAGCCATATTTATATTTTGGTGCACTTATATTTGCGCAGATATTGTATTTTCATGTTTATGATTCATTTTTAGAAGGTAATACACTATTATAGTTTTATTTCTATGAGGTTCACGAAGAGTGATAAGAGGATTGTAATTTCATCACGGGATTTAGAGAGAGTTCCTTTTGGATTGGATTTATATTTTGGACATTGTTTGGGCCATTTTATATATTTTATATGTTTTATTTTCAATTTTTTATTTCTATTTTATTTTCATCTTATTCATTATTTTTTCATTTATGTTGGGGTTGGAATAGGAAAGTATATATGTGTTAGATAGGAAAGGTTGTTTTATTTATTGTCTTCATCCACGAGCCCTTAAAGAGTTCAGCTAAGTGAAGGTCTTCGTCCATGAGCCCTTAAAGAGTTCAGCTAAGTGAAGGTCTTTGTTCACGAGTCCTTAAAGAGTTCAGCTAAGTGAAGGTCTTCATCCATGAGCCCTTAAAGAGTTCAGCTAAGTGAAGGTCTTCATCCATGAGCCCTTAAAGAGTTCAGCTAAGTGAAGGTCTTCATCCATGAGCCCTTAAAGAGTTCAGCTAAGTGAAGGTCTTCATCCATGAGCCCTTAAAGAGTTCAGCTAAGTGAAGGTCTTCATCCATGAGCCCTTAAAGAGTTCAGCTAAGTGAAGGTCTTCATCCATGAGCCCTTAAAGAGTTCAGCTAAGTGAAGGTCTTCATCCATGAGCCCTTAAAGAGTTCAGCTAAGTGAAGGTCTTCAACCATGAGCCCTTAAAGAGTTCAGCTAAGTGAAGGTCTTCATCCATGAACCCTTAAAGAGTTCAGTTAAGTGAAGGTCTTCATCCATGAGCCCTTAAAGAGTTCAGCTAAGTGAAGGTCTTCATCCATGAGCCCTTAAAGAGTTCAGCTAAGTGAAGGTCTTTGTTCACGAGCCCTTAAAGAGTTCAGCTAAGTGAAGGTCTTCATCCATGAGCCCTTAAAGAGTTCAGCTAAGTGAAGGTCTTCATCCATGAGCCCTTAAAGAGTTTGGCTAAGTGAAGGTTTTTGTCCATGAGCCCTTAAAGAGTTCAGCTAAGTGAAGGTCTTCATCCATGAGCCCTTAAAGAGTTCAGCTAAGTGAAGGTCTTCATCCATGAGCCCTTAAAGAGTTCAGCTAAGTGAAGGTCTTCATCCATGAGCCCTTAAAGAGTTCAGCTAAGTGAAGGTCTTCATCCATGAGCCCTTAACCACTTGCCTACCAGGCACTTATACCCCCTTCTTTACCAGGCCAATTTTCAGCTTTCAGCGCTGCCGCACTTTGATTGACAATTGCGCGGTCATGGAACATTGTACCCATATGAAATTTTGATCATTTTTTTCTCACAAATAGAGCTTTCTTTTGGTGGTATTTAATCGCCACTGGGCACTTTACTTTTTGCGCTATAAATAAAAAAATTGCAAAAAAATGTGAAAAAAAAAAAAAGTTTCTTGGTTTCTATTATAAAATTTTTCAAACAGGTATTTTTTTCTCCTTCACTGATGTGCGTTGATGAGGCAGCACTGATGGGCACTGATTGGCGGCACTGATGGGCACTGATAAGCAGCACTAAAGGGCACTGATAGGCAGTACTAATGAGGTGGCACGGATAGGCGGCACTGATAGACAGCACTAATGAGGTATCACGGATAGGCGGCACTGATAGGCGGCACTGATAGGTGACACTGATGATGGGTACTGATAGACGGCACTGACTGCATCACTGCTGGGCACTGACTGGCGGCACTGACTGGCACAACCCTGGGCACTGACTGGTGGCACTGACTGGTGGCACTGACTGGCAGCACTGCTGGGCTGCACTGGTGGGTGGCACTGGTGGGCAGCACTGGTGGGTGGGCACAGGTGGGTGGGCACAGGTGGGTGGCACTGGTGGGCACAGGTGGGTGGCACTTCTGGGCACAGGTAGGTGGCACTTCTGGGCACAGGTGTGTGACACTGCAGAGTGGCACAGGTGGGTGCACTGCTAGGCACAGGTGGGTGCACTGCTGGGCACAGGTGGGTGATCTGCTGGGCACAGGTGGGCGGAGCTAGTGGGCACACTGCTGGGCACAGGTGGGCGGAACTTGCGGGTGGCACTGCTGGGCACCGATCATCAGGGCACTGATCATCAGTGCCGATCCCCGCTGTGACAACTGCCGGTTCTCGGCAGTACTTTCCTCACGATCTGACAGCGTGAGGAAAGTGCAGCCGAGAACCGGCACTTGCATTTCCCTGTGATCAACGTGTCATTGGACACTGCTGATCACGTGGTAAAAGGCCACTGGGATCGGCCTTTTACCACATCACGTGATCAGCTGTGTCCGTAGGACACAGCGATCACGGAGATCGTCGGGTGCGCGCCCCCTGGGGCGCGCAGGAGAGCGCGTTCTGGGGGGACGTCATATGACGTCCACTCAGAACTGGCCGGCCGCAGTGAAGCCGTCATTCGGCTATCTGCGGTTGGCTACTAGTTAAAGAGTTCAGCTAAGTGAAGGTCTTCATCCATGAGCCCTTAAAGAATTTGGATAAGTGAAAGGTCTTCATCCATGAGCCTTAAAGAGTTCAGCTAAGTGAAGGTCTTTGTTTACAAGCCCTTAATGAGTTCAGCTAAGTGAAGGTCTTCGTCCACGAGCCCTTAAAGAGTTTGGCTAAGTGAAGGTCTTTGTTCACGAACCCTTAAAGAGTTCAGCTAAGTGAAGGTCTTCATCCATGAGCCCTTAAAGAGTTCAGCTAAGTGAAGGTCTTCATCCATGAGCCCTTAAAGAGTTCAGCTAAGTGAAGGTCTTCAACCATGAGCCCTTAAAGAGTTCAGCTAAGTGAAGGTCTTCATCCATGAGCCCTTAAAGAATTCAGCTAAGTGAAGGTCTTCATCAATGAGCCCTTAAAGAGTTCAGCTAAGTGAAGGTCTTCATCAATGAGCCCTTAAAGAGTTCAGCTAAGTGAAGGTCTTTGTCCACGAGCCCTTAAAGGGTTCAGCTAAGTGAAGGTCTTTGTTCACGAGCCCTTAAAGAGTTCAGCTAAGTGAAGGTCTTCATCCATGAGCCCTTAAAGAGTTCAGCTAAGTGAAAGTCTTCATCCATGAGCCCTTAAAGAGTTTGGCTAAGTGAAGGTTTTTGTCCATGAGCCCTTAAAGAGTTCAGCTAAGTGAAGGTCTTCATCCATGAGCCCTTAAAGGGTTCAGCTAAGTGAAGGTCTTCATCTATGAGCCCTTAAAGAGTTCAGCTAAGTGAAGGTCTTCATCTATGAGCCCTTAAAGAGTTCAGCTAAGTGAAGGTCTTCATTATTAAGCCCTTAAAGAGTTCAGCTAAGTGAAGGCCTTCATCCATGAGACCTCAAAGAGCTTTGTTCAGTTATTTCATAGTCCTTGATTTTAACTTCTCTTTTTAATCCAGGGTTTCTCAGCCAGGGTGTGACGGAACCCTAGGGTTCCCCCAGAGGTTGCTAGAGGTTCCTTGAGCAATGAGAAAATTCTGCCTCTCAGATAAGTTCCCACTGACACCATTGATCTTTTTAGCTCCCTGTAAGGAGGAATTTCTTCCCAATGACCAGAAGTGTAAGGAGCATTCTTCCCACCGACCATCTCACTCATGAATTGTAGATATAGTCATTTTTAGCAGGGGTTCCCTGAGCCCTAAAAGTTTTTTTCAGGGGTTTGATAAAGGCCTCCTTAATCACTGTCATGTTCCAAATGGATTGATGCAACAATGTTTCCCGAGACTGTCCTGAACCCCCATCGTGTTTTGTTGATATTTACACCGGTCACTGGAATTCCAATGCTCTGCACTAATTGCTTTGCCCATGTGATGTTTTGGTGGGACTCGATGACAGGTTTGGGCAAATACCGACCTAAACACGCTAACTATGTTTTCCCCAACTTGCTAAAGGCCTGCGTGTTCAGCTTTTATTGTTGGAGGGATAATGAAGGAGCTGATAACGGACAATAGACAGAAATATTTGAGAAAAAAAAAATAATATACTGGATAGCCAGCATGGATTTATAGGAAACAGATGTTGTCAAACAAGTCTGCTTTCTTTTTATAGGAAATTAGTGGAAACATTGGGGGATAGCTGTGGATGTTCTATATTTGGACTTTGCTAAAGCATTTGACACGGTTCCTCACAGATGCCTATTGTGTAAATGAATGTCTGTTGATTTGGAAAAAAAAATTGATATGGGATTGCGTAGAAAACTGGATTGAAGACCGCATCCAGAGAGCAGTAATTAATGATTTATACGCTGCATGGTTCAAGGTTGGAGGTGGCGTGCCTCAGGGTTGAGCCCTTGGACCATTATTCTTTACAGTGTAACGAAACCTTCCTGGCTTTTTGCAGCCAAGATGGCGCCATCTTGGACCTGGATTTAGATCGGCACTGCACGCGTGACCAGCTATGACACCGGCTATTTGAGGGGTTGAAAGTTTTTTGGAGAGGCGACATAACATACAGTTGTCACCAGGGGCGGACTGACCATTTGGAAACTCGTTTACTGCCCGAGGGCCCAGGGTCAGTAGGGGGCCCCATGAGATGCCCCTGGTACCTTTTTCATAGGCTTTTTGAGTTTGGGCAAGGACACAGGAGCCCCATGATCCCCTATTGCCCGGGGGCCCCATGAGTTGTCAGTCTGCCCCTGGTTGTCACCGGAGGCAGGCCTTGAATATAGCATTCACCGAGGATACACTAGTAGGCAGAATGCAAATTAAAACACTGCAAAAAAGAAACAAACATTATTTATGTTTGGTTCGTAATTTCATTACATTTATTGAACATTTTTAACTCAACAGTTAAACATTTGGGTTTAGCTCCTTTTTAATTGGTTTATCAATGATAACGTTTTGGGGATTACAAGTTCCATTTCTGTGTTTGCAGAAGGCTCAAAGCTACATTATATTTCCAAAAGTATTGGGCCGCCGGCCTTTCCACGTACGTGAACGTTAATGGCATCCCAGTCTTAGTCCGTAGGGTTCAATATTGAGTTGGCCCTGCCCTTCCCACGCACATGACCTTTAATGGCATCCCAGTCTTAGCCCGTAGGGTTCAATATTGAGTTGGCCCCCCGCCCTTTCCACACACATGACCTTTAATGGCCCCCCAGTCTTAGTCCGTAGGGTTCAATATTGAGTTGGCCCCGCCCTTCCCACGCACATGATCCTTTAATGGCATCCCAGTCTTAGCCCGTAGGGTTCAATATTGAGTTGGCCCTGCCCTTTGCAGCTATAACAAATTCAACTCTTCTGGGAAGGCCGTCCACAAGGTTTAGGAGGGTGTCTATGGGAAGGTTGGACCATTCTTCCAGAAGCACATTTGTCAGGTCAGGCACTGATGTCGGGGGAGGAGGCCTGGCTCGCAGTCTCCGCTCTAATTCATCCCAAAGGTGTTCTATGGGGTTGAGGTCAGGACTCTGTGCAGGACAGTCAAGTTCCTCCACCCCAAACTGGCTCCTCCATGTCTTTATGGACCTTGCTTTGTGCACTGGTGCGCAGTCATGTTGGAACAGGAAGGGGCCATCCCCAAACTCCTCCCACAAAGTTGGGAGCATGAAATTGTCCAAAATGTTGCCTTAAGAGTTCCCTTCCCTTCAAGTGGAACACTTGAATCACATGTTATGGAGGGGATTGGAACACTTTAATCACATGTTATGGAGGGGATTGGAACACCTGAATCACATGATATGGAGGGGATTGGAACACCTGAATCACATGATATGGAGGGGATTGGAACACCGGAATCACATGATATGGAGGGGATTGGAACACCTGAATCACATGATATGGAGGGGATTGGAACACCTGAATCACATGATATGGAGGGGATTGGAACACCTGAATCACATGATTTGGAGGGGATTGGAACACCTGAATCACATGATTTGGAGGGGATTGGAACACCTGAATCACATGATTGGGAGGGTTGGCCCAATGCTTTTGGGAATATAGTGTATGTGTATAAAACACTATATGGCCAAAGGTTTCTGAACCCCCTACCCCCTCATGGGACTTGCAGTTCCTCAACACCTGGAGGGCCGTAGTTTGGAGACCCCTCCTTTAGAGAATGTCTAGAACATGTGTGTACAAAGGGCAAAGAGCGAGGAGAGGAGTGAGGAAGATGACAACTGACAAATACTTTTGCCACTCGTAGTAACGTCAGCAAGCTGGTGACACGGTTCAGTGACACATGTATGACACACGGGGGAGAGACACTGATGCACCTGTGCACTCACCTGATTGGCAGGGACAGCTGACGGCCCCGTGTTGTGAGATGCAATGACAGGCAGCCGTGACATTAACAATGACAGTAACAGAAGCTGAATTCAGTGAAGGTTGTATCTGGGACTGACAGAAATGACGCCTGTCATGGTCGTAGACTCCGACGTGAATGGTTCAGTAACGAACTGTTAAACAGGCAATGATGGGTGACAACGTTTCGGGGTTTGTGCCAATTTCTGCCTTGGCTGTGTTTCTGTGCGCTCATGATAACGGGAGAGGAACAGAGGTAGGAGGGACGGGGAACCAGCCCTGCTCTGATGGGCTCTGCATGGTTAGTATTTCTATTTACATACCGTCGTGCCGCTCCATTTTTTTCCTGAAGAACTCCAATTTCTAATTAATCGAAGTAAATGGCATCTACCATTCTTTTTTCTGCTTTCAAATGTATGACTCAAAAGTGAAGAGTGGGGGCGGGGGGGGGGGGGGCATCCCTCTAAGGGGAGGGCTACAGCCAAAAGAGTATATGAGAGGTCAGGTACTGATGTTGGATGAGAAGACCTGGCTTACCATTGCCATTCCAATCGATTCCAAAGGTGTTCAGTAGGGTTAAGGTCAGGGCCAGAGCTTGTCAGATATCCCGTTTCTAAATGATGGACTCCGCACTGTTGGGAAGGCTTTCCAAAAAGATTTTTCAATTCATCCTAAAGGTGTTCAGTAGGGTTGAGGTCAAGGCTTTGTGAGGGACACTTGAGTTCCTCCTACACCAAACTGGTCAAACCATATATAAAGATCTATATAGAGGAATCGGGACCTCCTTCCTCCAGTGACCCCCTAAGTAGTGATATAAAGATCTATATAGAAGAATCAGGACCTTCCTTCCTGCTGCCGGTGACCCCTCTAG